TGGTACCTTTTTTCAAATAGAGTTTAGAAGAATGTAGGATATGACATGCTGTGCTTTGAGTAACTAGTAGTACCATGAAGGTTCATTGATGTTCATTGAAACATTATGAAAGTAAATTAAAATAACCTGTTCTATAAAATAATTATCCACTTCTGTTTTCAGCAAGACCTAGTTGTTTGCCTTTTGGCACTGTGGGAATAAGTGGAGATGGTTCAGAGGAATGTCAGAAAAAGCTGTATATGTTTGCTTGAGATTTACATATTTTATTGATGCAAGCTAGCTTTGACTGCCTCTTCCTTATCTTAAGTGTACAGAATATAACCCGTTCATCCTTCATCAAAGATTTGTCATAATTCTTGATTACTATTTTGTTACAATTGGTGATTTAGAAGCAGAATACACCAGCTGGATTATCAGGTTCCAGGCTATGCCTGCAAACAGAAAAATCTGCTTGAGACTTGTCAACTGAACAGATGTTACACTTAGGGAAATGGAACATATTGTACCCTGCGGGGTCTGTCACTGTCACACAAATACTTTTAACAGTGACTGCATTGAATTTGCCAGAGTAAACTTGTTCTTTTTCTCTCTCTCTCTGCTGTAGACTTTGAACCTGAGTTGATTTTTTTCTTTCTAGAATTAAGTGTTGGATAGTCAGTGTTTTGTGAGAGAAAATATTCCATCTTATACAAAATGCAGGTATTTACTTCACGTAGAAAATGTTTTAAGGTTTATATACTGCCAATATAAATAGCTTCTATTATTAAGCTCCACTTGTGAGTGAGTCACCTATTGCTGTATCAAACACATTTGTATATAGTAGCTTTTATGGGAGGTTAAATTTTAACCAGCACCATCACAGACTATTACCTGTGTTTATTTAAGAATGTTTCAGTCATAGTGTAATCCTGTGACAGTGTTTTTTATACACAGAATAATCAGCCCTTCACTGAGATGAATTTGTAAAATGTGGAAAATTATTTATTTTGACCAGTGATCCAAAGCTGTTTAGCCCATTAAAGCAGATGACTTCTGTAACCTCATGGAACCAGAAAAACGGTTCTTTTGGGCCATTTACATTTCTCTGCTATAAACATGTTCAGGGAGAGTTTAGTGCATATAATTATAAATAAAACATATCAGATTTTTGAAAAATTTTGCCTATTCAGAAGACAAAGATTCTGGTTAACATTGTCTTTTGGATTTAATGTGCATCAGGTGGCATGATACTGTATTTTTACTCTGAGAGAGAATCAAAATAGCAACAGTATGTATATTATACCGTATCATTAATGCCCTTTGAAACCTTCAACACTATTGAAGGTGTGGGTTTTGATTTAGAGATAAATAGATTATAGCATATTAATTGCACTGTAAGGTACTTAAAGAAAGCTACTGTTCAATTGAATGAAATCTTAACTTGCTACTTGATTTCTCAAAAACTATTAGACAAGCATGCTTCTAAGACCTTATTAAGTTTCCATTGATGGAAACAAGTCATTTGTCATAGCTTATTAATTAATTATCATCAAAAGTGAAAGATAAAGTAATCGTTGAACTAGTAGCCAGGTTCTTTTTATTTATTAAATTTATATGCCGCCCATCTCGCTGTCCAAGGCAAAATCTTGATGCTTTCATTTCAGGAGAGGATGTCAAATTAAAATATTTTACATGCACACTCATAGAAGCTCTTAGTTTCAGTGGTCCTTTTTTTATACACAATTTTGATAACACCAGGTATTTATTAAGCTGTGTAAGCCCTTCAAATCATTAAAGCTGTCACAACATTTTTCCAAGTGGTTATGCATGCAAAACTAACTTGAGACAGCCAGGACTGGCTTATGACTCCATATAAACCTGAAAAAAGATGTGGGTTCTTTAATTATTTAAAGGAAGGTGCTTCATGAATTTTCCTGCTCAATGTGATGTACCTCTTTTGAGTAATCCTAATTTTGAGGTGTTTTTTTCATCTTTTCTACTCAGTTTCTTCCATGGAATTAGTTCTCTTGTGATTTTGACCAAATGCTATAATTATTAGTCTCTTAGCTTTTATTTAAAATCAAAACAATTCCCATAGTTAATTTGCATTTTTTTTAATCTGTTACTTTTCACTGATATCATTCAGGCAGCAAACATGGAACCACCCCATTTTGTCCTCTCAGATTTTTATGGAGTATGTTAAACTAGGGGAAATTGTCCTAAACCAGGGATGTCAAACTCGCAATGTTACGTGACTTTTTCCTTATTGCCAGAGCCGGGATGGGCGCGGTTTCGGCATGACGCAAGCAGCCTATAGGCCAGCAGTTTGACACCCTTGTCCTAAACTGTCATTGATCTTGATGTTTTAATAGGGATTTGACTCTCAACGTTTTACATCAACTCCAGTCATACTACAGCTAAATGATAAAATGCCAAGGGGAAAAACTTGGATTTTGGTACAGTTCTCCCAACAATCAAAATTTGACCACTACAGTATTCTCTTGTCTTTGATTTTGACAATCATCCAAACCTCCCAGCTCAATGTTTGGAAACAGAAGGATCTGCTTAAAGGTGAAGTGCACCTGGTAACAATTAAATTGCAAAAAAATGGTCTAGTGCCTGAGGATCTGGTAACTTTCTTGTGAAGCTACAAAAACAGTTTTTTTCTTCTTCTTTTAAAAAAACTATTCCTGGAATGATCTGTATTATTATTACTACATTGGTGTTTTCAGAATCTAGACACATAATAGCATCCATATATTGAAAAGTATTTGGGCAAACCTTGAATGCAATGTTGGGTACTGTTTAACTGTCCAGATGCTCAGACTCTTCTTATGAACTCCTAACTAGAAAGGCCAATGGGATGGGAGATGGAAGCTGCAGCCCATTTGAAGAATCACCCATTGCCTACCTTTGATTTACAGCAATGTGATTTATTTAATTACATTAAATAAGAATTGTAAAGCACACATAAGAAATCTACACATGATTGTAGATCAGTGTAGCTGGTCTCATTTAAAGTCTTTTAGGCTCACATAAAGAATTTGGTTAGGGTGTGTGTTGATCTTTAATCTCGTACTTCATTTTATAAACTCTTGAAAAAATATATTTTTATAGGTTGAATTAATTATAAAGTCCAGAGTGAAAAAGACCCGCTATTATTCTGTTAATGGCAGAGAACTAAACAAAGAGGCAAAATCAGTTTCTCTCACTCAGCCTGAAGACTCTCACTTTACTGACATTAAAGAGAGATTTATGATAGCTGCTGGCTTCATTTGTGGAAACTCACTTTGCATAATATCAGTAAATCTTAATGATACCTTGATTAGTATTTGTATATGTTCATGTGTACTGTTAATATTAACTGAAAAGATTATTTTCAGGGCTGCATTACATAACTTGCATTTGCTGTACTGAATTATAAGCAGGAATATAAATCAAAGCATTACATTTGTTTCTCTCATGCAGAGGTTGCAAAGCAAATATTTGGAAATAAAGATTTTTTTAAAAAAAACACAATTCTATGATTTCAGGAGAGAATAAATTGAGACAATTTAACTATTAAAAGAAACAATCAATTTTAACTCTTGTATTTAACGCTTCATGACTGGTAATGAACCTTAAGCCCAGTTTCAGCCACAGACACCCACAGTCATTCACCTCTGGGACAATGGTACCAGTCACTCAAGGATCACAGCATTCTTCCTCCCCAACCTTAATGTCTGGCTGTACAGGACCTATAATCAAGGGAGACAGAATTCCAACAGGGCTATGATCCTATTTACTGTTTTCTGTTTCTACTGTAAGAAGAAAAAATGTTTAATTATTGCTTTTGTGCAGCAAAATATCTGTAAAATCCAGAGCAATAAACAAAAGTGCAGACTGCTTCTTCTTTCTTGTTAGAGTCCTTCCTTCTCTTCAGCCCATTCAGCAAAAATACGATCTTTAACATTTGCAAATGGCTTGAATTGGGGTCAGTTCAGACATCCTGTTGAGGCAGAATTAATCAATCAGTAGGCTTGCCTCCATTTGCAAGTGATGGGTTCACACAATAGAGCTTGTCATATAACAATATTTTGTCATAGTTTACACTGTTGTATCAAATTAGGTCCCTGTTTTTAGTGTTTCACATGTTTTCATTGAAAGCTGTGTATAATTTTCTTGGCTCCAAAGCTTGTGAAAAAAATGTAATAAACATTGCAATCCGCTAAATTAAATTACCAAAATCCACAGTTGGGCTTGTAAAATGGGTCAAATTATGTTTCAGTTTATCAAATTGTTGGCCTGGTCCATTTAATTAAAAGTTAAATTAAAGGCAGATATCTCTTCCTTCTTAGCATTCTAACAAGATTTATGCCGAGCTGGTCCTGGGGTTATTTTGCGATTCTAAATAAACACTATAAATGGTCTGTATGAAACTATAAAAATCCACACCAAATGTTTAGATGTGTTATTAAAAATAATTTCTTCTGTGCTTTTGAGAGTTGACACAGTTATGGCTGGAACACTAATGAAATCCATAGTTTAGGTTTATAGAGTTTTGATAAATTATTTTTTTTCCAGGGCAGTACATTTTGAGTACAGCTTTCTATAAAGCAGTGCATGGTTAATTAAAATTTAGTACAGAAAATATGTCTATAACTATGTACAAGCAACATTAGAATTTCAGGATGGATGCTTAATGCATGGTATATTTAATGCAAATCACACATATTTCCATCTACCTACTTAATCTGCCTCCAGAGATTCACCATATTTCCCATATTTTCATCGTGATATGTAAAAAACAAGGAAGCAAAGTACAGTAAGGGTGCAATGTGTTTTCCCTTTCTTTTTCACCTGCCTGTCACTTTTGCTGCTTACTTAGTATACCACCAAAGATATACCCTTCTATAGATGCTCATTGTCATCATTGAACTTTAAAAATATGAAAAGTTTAGGACAAGAAAAAACGCTAATAGATGTTGGTCTTAGATCCTTTACTGATATCTTCCAAATTCTTTGTTCTTGTTTTTAAACAGTCCTCTACTTGCTGTCTCCTTCGGAATCTGCTGTGCAGTTCCAGCAATAACCTTGCTGATCCTCGGAGTAAATCCTCTTATTGGTGCCTTAGGAGCCTTCAACATTTTCCTGTATTCCTGCTGCTATACGCCTCTAAAAAGAATTAGCATTGTGAATACATGGGTAGGAGCTGTGGTTGGTGCCGTTCCGCCAGTCGTGGGTTGGATAGCAGCAACTGGTAGTCTGGATGCAGGTGAGTATAAAGTGAAAATCCATCAGATCATGGAGAGGAATGGGAATTTTAAAAATTCATTTTTCCTTTGGGACTAGCAAAAGGCAACTATACTATGGAAATAAGTGCTTTGTTTCGCATAAGTCTCTATTGCAAATAAGACATTCTCTTTTTAATCAACACTTGCTGGAATAGCATTTATATTTTCTAGAATTTACATCTTACATATTGAATTCCATAGCAGTCCCTGCTATATACTGATATATGAATAAAAATCAAGATTATCTTTGTTTCAGATACCCCCAAACTTATGGTTCTTGGAGAATATACTCAGAGGCATAAGATTGGCATCCCAATCTGATGGTGGAAAAGAGTCTTTAATAAGGATGAGATCACTCCAAGGGAGAGTAAAACACTTTAAAAAATTACTTTAATAATAGGCCGTTATATCCTGGGAAGACTCCAGGCCTGGAGATCATGGACTTTGTAATAGTGGGAAATGCAATAAAACCACAGAAAAATGGGTAACGTGCATATAAACCACATGGTTAGCTTGACTTCTGGTTCAAAGTTCATGGAGTTCATGGTTTATTTTAAAAACCTTGGAGATAGTACGGTGCTAGAGAAGAATGGTATTGATGATTTGAAGAGATTTACAATGTTTATGTGGTCATGTAAAATTCATCTGTCACTGCTAGGTACTGTAAGAAATTGACAGGTATAGCCTGCAAGATAGCTTTCTTTAAATGCTATTTGTTTAACAAAAATCCTCTTGGCAAGTTAGGATTGAGAGGTTTTACCTCATGGATTTGACAAAGGTACCAAGAAGAGAAGTGAAATAGATGCTGCCAGATAATTCGTACAACAATATTTGTACATCTACACTTGAACCAAAATGGAAGCGGACTGCTATTCCTGAGCAGAGAGATGAGATGGCAGAACAGCTTTCGAATTAATCTCTAGAAGAAACCAGGAACTGGGGGTTATGTGGTTTAGAAACAATGATTACCAGAAGGTTAGAATGATTTCCTTATACCAGAAGTTACGTTTAGCCTGTGACTTTCAATAATGCTGTGTTTGGATATGTCAAAAACCAAGCAAGCTATTAATGTGTATCTGTTCTGTGCAATTACCTGTGCCTGATCTCTTCTTGCTTAGCCTTTGCCACCAGCATTTTCACATACCTTGAAATCTTGCTGTCTATTCATTCCTAAGATATAAGCAATCTTTTAATAGCCAGGGGCTATGCTTAACTTTTTTTTTTTTTTTTTTTTGAGGGACGTAATGGCCTGATGGTACAAAGCGCACGGGGCCATTTTTTTTCTCTTGAATTGTAGAAAAAATTGAAGAATTCGCTTAAATATATATATATTTAGCCAATTTTAGACCTTACAATTGTTTTCCTGATTTTAAAATCTGAGGCCGAAGGTGGCTTCAAGGGTAACCCATCTCTGTCTTCGATATCATGTGAAACCACTGCCTTTTATTAATCTTTCTTGTCTTGTTCCAAGCCAGTCTCATAATGCATGCGCACCAAGGAGTTTACTTGAAAGACAATTTCAAGCAACGGCAAACAGGGAGAGTGTTCAAGTACACCCACAGAGCAACAAAATCCCAGTCCCTAGAGGGCTTACTTGCAAAAAAGGATTCAAAATAGCCAGAATCCAGGTGGTAAGAGCAAAATTATAGTCAGGTCATCGTCCAGATGCCCTGGAGTCCAAATGTAGGTTGTGAATTGTTATGAGTTCCAAGGGGCAGCTTCAGAGGCAACAGGTTGGACAATTCCCTTGATACCTTGGACGATTTCGTTGATACGTCATTAGACGTATCGTTGATACGTCACCCCCAGAGATCTGGGTGATTCCGGATCTCCCCTCCTTCCGCCGCGCCCTCAAGACATGGCTATTTCAGCTGGCGGGACTGGCCTAAGGGGTATTTTAAATTTGGTTTTTAAATAACTTTTAAAAAAGGAAGAAAAGGCCCATATTAATATTTCTTTTTAACTACATTTTAAATTTTGTATATTGTATTGATTGTTTTNGACTTAGGCTCCAGCTGGGGAAAGTTTGCAGTGGCAGACAGCCAGAAACAAGAGGAGGAACTGCCTTCTGCACCTGATCCGAGAGCACGTAGAACAGAGAAAAGGCAGGAGCAGAGAAGGTTAGCCAAACTACTCAAGAGGAGAAAGCCCTGCCCATCTTGATGGGCTACACTGGAAGCTGGCTATTTATCACAGCAGAGAGATGGCGGCATTACTAGGAACAACGTGTTTGTTTCCTAGCTGTGTGTTTTCTGATTGTCATGATTCCTGCCTCACTCTGGATTGACTCCATGTTTGGAATGGAATCATGCCTTGAAAACTCTAGACTTTTCTTGCCTCTTGTGAGTGGATTTAAGTTTGCCTGGTGAAGTTATTTTGTTTGATAAAATTTCAATGCTTTGTGGACTATTTAGCCATTGCTCAGTTGACTAAGCATGGTCTGCTCATGGCTGGACTGAATTGGGACATTTCTCAGTTTTAGTAAAGGGAATTGCTGGGGAATATTAATAAACTCACTAAAGCACAGTTACAGGTGTGTATGTGAGTAAGCAGGGTAGCACACATACGCATAGCGTTACAGTAGCCAAAGTGGTTGTTTCCAACAGAGAATTTCTGGTGATGATAGCTATTCAATAGTATCTGCTTCTGATGTAGACAACAAAAGGCAGGACAACCCTGACAGACGAGAAACCATGCAAAATGCTTTTGCATTCCTTAACCTTCTGCACAATGTACGTTAGGATTGGAGGGAAGTCTTGGATCTAGCCCCTCATCATATTTCCCTGATGGCTAGGCTGTTCCAGAGATTGACATTTGTCCAATACCCTCCAGCAATTCCAGGTGTTCATCTGGTATGTCAGATAGCATGGATCAGAACCTACAGATGACCGGCATTTCATACCACTGAATCTGCCATATAGAAGTCTTTGGAAAGCATCCATGAAAAAAAGAATGGTTTTCACCTTTGTTTTTGCAGGGAACTGCTTTGGCATGCTGAGCTTTGCAAACTCAGCTGTTTGCTCACTTTAAGCATTATTTCAAGACATCTTCCATTAAATAGAAATGTATCCAATCCATGCCAGGTCTGTCTCACATCATTCTTTTATTGTTGTTGGACTTGCAGGCAGTAGCATTCACTCTGGGAATTGTATTGAATTGCCACTTGCTGACATTCGGTATGCTCTGGGTCTGTTCTATGCAATATAGTAAAAAAATTTGATTGCATAGATTGCATATTCTCTCATTGTCAGTTTGGCATTTATATTTTCTTTATAAATGTTGGAACTCCTGTCAAACATTTAAATGTAAGCAGTATTTCATTATTTATACATAATCTCTAGGATGGCCAGTACAAAATCAATGTAAATAAATACAAAATTACTAATAAATGAAGGGCAGTTCTCAAAACACCTATTTCAGGGCTTCATTTCATAAGAATTCATTCAGAAGTTACTCCATAAGACAGAAGAAAAAAAGGGGGATTTTTTTTTTAATTTTTTTTTAATGACAGATTGTGAATACCTTTGTTAGTGTGGGCAAGGAGACAGACTTCCATGCCAGATTTCTGGAATCCATTAGTACTTCATCATTAATTAGCATACATAACTTTAAGTAAAAAGGCAGAAATACATTTGTGCATGGTTAAAAATAGAGAAAGTAAAGTTCTTTTACTTAAAAAGTAATTCAACAAGAAAAAGAGAATTAGACAAAAAGAAGTCCAAGATTTTATTGGCACTTGCTGTATTTTATTTTTTATAGGAAGGGGAATTTGTTTATTTGCTTTGTTAAATCTAGCCATTCAGAGTGAATCATCAATTCATTTTTCCTTTGGGCTAGAATTTATTACTAATATACCCTTTTTCTTCTTGATTCATGGCATACTGTCTAATCCTGTTTAGTGGTTCTGCAATTCGATGACTAGAATTGTGTTCATTTATTCTCTTAGATTTTCGGTTAAAGTTAAAACGTTTTTTTATTTTATTTTTAATTTTTACGTTAATTAGATCTATCTTTCCCGATCAGTTTCTACAAATATATAAGTGTTCGGAGAGGTCTTTCATTTCAATAAAAAAAGTTTAATTTCTATTTAACCCCATCAACTTTATATCGTGTTCATAATCATAAATACTTGAACTTTTCTTTTTTAAATGTTCCTTTTATCCTTTTCAACAAAAAGAAAAAAAATACAATGTACAAAATTATACATCAGAATTAGAGAAATCTCCATTTCTCAGTTGATCTTGTTTATCTAATAACTTGCATTTCTAGTATTATTTAATTTGCTTGGTTTTGTTTGAAAAAAGGTCTAGTTTAGGAATTTAGATGCATTTAAATTTATCATGCTTCAAATTCAAATCATTATTGTGGTTAATAGACTATCATTAATTCATATGTATAATTTGTTAGTTGATGAAAAACTAATTTTAAGTTTTGGGCAAGTTTTCTGAGTTAAACTTTCATTATTACAATTATTATTGTAATATCAGTTATCATTACTACAAAGCATCTCAGTGATTTCAGCCTTAATTTTGTAATTTTATGTAGTCACCTCTCCTGTGTATCAAAATCTTGTCTTTATTTAGTTCCAAACAGCAACTAGAAAGTTAAAATAATAAACCTAATAAGAAAAACAAGAAAAAAGAAAGACAGATTGGAACAGAATAACCCTAATTACAGCAAGTATTGTCATCTACAGTCAAGATATTTCTATTATTACCACATTTCCATATGAAAGCAGTAGGTCCATATGAAAGCAGTAGCCTTGCAAGATGGTGTTTAGTTCCCACTTTCACAGTGGACTCTAGAGACTGTAGAGCAAGACATCTCCATGCTGAGAGAATGTATCCAACGTGAAACAATCCTGTTTGCAAGAGGGATGTTTGTCAGAAAAGGCTTCATCAGATAAGAGGATTTACTCTGGTACAGTTGTGATGGTGGCATGGCAGATAACCACAGCCTGGTAACTCTATTAGACATTAGA